AACTAAATTAAAAGTTTGATAATAGATGTCCTGAGATAAATGTTAAACCTTAAACCAAAAATATCCTCTAACATCTTCTTAAAACAAAACAATAGTTTAGCTTAACTAGGAAAGAATGTCTGCCTTGAGTATTAAACTTTAAGATGTATTTGTATGGGATCAAATTGACAACAGCAGGTCAAAGGATTAGATAGGAACCTTAGGGGGTAGTGAGGTTATGTTAATGAGGGAGGAACAACTCAAAAAAGGAGGGTGAGAATGGCTGCACAACTTGAAGAATATAATCAATGTCAGTGAATTAAACATGTAGAAACTGTTGAATTGGGGTATGTTCTGCTGTATATATTCTCAACAACAACAAAAATAAAATAAATTACAAAATAATTATTGAAAAGAGAAGTATAAAAGATACAATACCGTTTTCCTTATGGAGTGTTTGGCTCATAAAATAAATGCGTGCTATTATTATTTTTTAAATGTGTGTTGTTAAAAAAAATTTTCTCTTTAAAATTATTTACATTATTTAATGACTCCAGTCCCAGTCAAATTTTGTATTAATTACAAAGTAAAAGAGAACATAGTAATAAAATTTACTATATATTTAATTTTTACATATTCAAAATGACTAACCTAACCTTTTCCCCAACCCCCAAAAAAGATAGAGCCACTTAGTACAACGGTGTTTAAGAAGCCCACATTAGGTTTTCCATGAAAATGCCTCCTCCCATCCGTCTTTTCATTTTTCAATTTTCAACACGAATTTCTCAAATTTACTCATTCAATGAATGTCTTCTGAATGTCTACTATGTACCAGCATACATAGTATGGTATGTTAGGTAGTAAAGATGTAAGAGAAATACAGAGTCAAAAATATCTTCCCTCAAGAAGCCCAGAGTCTAGTAAAAGTCCGCAACTAAACAAATAGCTACAAAACCACACTAAAAGCATAAAAAGAGGTTGTTAAAATTGTAGACTAAGGAGAATCTCAGACTGTCTGCCCAAGAGTTTTGGACAAAGACACAGAGATGTTGATGGCTGAGCATGGTTTTGAGGTTTTTGGATTTGTTTGTTTTTAGGAAGGAAGGAAGATATTAAAATTCCACACCACATACTTTCCTCAAACATTTGTGATGGATCTTAAATTCAACATACATATTACTGCAAAGTCTTGGTAAAAGAGAAATTTCAATTACATCTAATATCTATACTTTCACTTTTATAGTTTCTCAAGATCAAATTTATTATATCAAAGATACCTGCATCACTTAAACTTACTATTTAAACAATTTAACCTGAACTTTAGAAAAACACAAATAAAAGATGTTATCCTGTGATGTTCAGCAACGTAATATTAACTATTAAATTTTTTTAAAGTGAATATAATACATTAAAAAATAGTCTACAACTACAATAATACAAAAAATTGAAGTCTTCATTAAAAAGATATCCTTTAAAACTGTTATTTTCTTTACAAAAACAAGACAGGATGGTTCCAGTAGGCGTCCAAAATAAAACACCAGATGACCTTCCAGTAGAAGAAAAGGCACTAGACCTAAATGATAGGGAATTCAAATCTTTAATATTCAGAATTATCCAAGAGTTGAAGCAAAAAACAGACAAAAATGAGGAAAAAAATAGACAAATTCATGGAAAAGGCAAACAAATTCATGGAAAACACAGACCAAAAAAATGGAAGAATTCAAGAAAATAATACAGAAACAAAATGCTAAAATAAATTCACAACTAGAAATCATACAAAAACAACAATCAGACATCCAAAAGATAAACAACAAAATTTCAGAAATGGACAGTGTCACAGAAGTGCTAAGGAGCAGCTTTGAAACGATGGAAGACAGGATCAGGGAAATTGAAGACAAACATTAGATACAACTCTGAGGAAAAATCAGAAAAAAGAACAAAGAAAAATGAAGAAACCCTGAGAATTATGTGGGATACAATCAAAAGCAAAAATCTGCGAGTGATCGGAGTTCCAGAACAGGGGGAGAAAACAGAAGACACAGAGAGGATCACTGAAGAATTGCTGACAGAAAACTTCCCAAATATCATGAAAGATGAAAAGCTGACCATCCAAGAAGCTCAATAAACCCCATACAGGATAGACCCCAAAAGAAAATCACCAAGGCATATCATAACCGCACGCACTAAAACCAAAGACAAAGAATCCTGAGAGCAGCTCGAGAAAAACAAAAAGTCACATACAGAGGAGAAACAATAAGACTAAGCTCAGATTATCTGGCAGAAACCATGCAGGCAAGAAGGCAATGGGATGACATATATAAAACCTTGAAAGAAAAGAATTGCCAGCCAAGAATAATATATCCTGCAAAACTCTCATTCAAATATGATGGTGAAATTAGGTCATTGCCAGATAAACAGAAATTAAGGGACTATGTAAAAACCAGACCGAACTTACAAGACTTATTAAAGGAGTCCTTCGATCTGAGAGCAAATAATATCAGACCACAGGCTGAATATAGGACACAGGATTGTACTAGCCAGATACCAACCTAGGAAATGAACTCTTAAGGACTATGTAAAACCAAAAGTATTACAACAGGGAACCAGAGACGTTAATCTGTAAATGACAACAGCATCAGAACAATAAAAGAGGGAATAAACAGTGTAGGTACAGAACCTTCTAGTGGAGAGGAAGTAAAGCGATACCAAGTAATAATAGACTGGTACAAATCCAGGAAGATAAGGATAAATTTCAAGGTAACCACAAAGAAAGTTAACAAACCTACTTATCAAAATAAAGAAGAAAAACATAAAGTCTCAGTAAAAACAATACCTACAAAAAACAAAAGAAATGAAAAAAAAAATTCACAAACAAAAGGAACTCAGCACAGGAGAGTTTAAGAGGAACAAAGAAAACATCAGCACCACAAAAAAAAAAAAACACTACAAAATGCAATCCCACTCCTAGGAATACATCCTAGAGAAATAAGAGCCGTCACACTAATAGATATATGCACACCCATATTCACTGAAGCACTGTTCACAATAGCAAAAAGAGAGAAACAACCTAGATGCTTATCAACAGATAAATGGATAAACGAACTATGGTACATACACAGTGGTGTATTATACCAAGATAAACAACAATGATAAATCTGTGAAGCATCTCATAACATGGATGAAACTGGAGGACATTATGCTGAGTGAAGTAAGTCAATCACAAAAGGACAAATATTGTATGAAACCTCTACCGTATAACTCATGTAAAAGTTTACACGCAAAAAGAAACAATCTTTGTTGGTTACGAGGGATGGGAGGTGTTGGGGGGGAACTAAACAGATAAGTGGCAACTTTGGTGAAGGGTAAGACAGTACACATTACTGGGGAAGCCAGCACAACTTGTACAAGGAAAGGTCATGGAAGCTCCACAGACACATCCAAACTCCCCGAGGGACTGAATTGCTGGGTGGAGGGCTGTGGGGACCATGGTCTTGGGGAACATCTAGCTCTATTGGCATAACACAGTTTATAAAGACAATGTTCTACATTCTATCTTGGTGAGTAGTGTCTGCGGTCTTAAGACCCTCTGAGCAGCCATCTAAGATACTCTACTCGTCTCACCCCTTCGGGAGAAAGGGAGAACGAAGAGAAAAAGATACAAGGAAAAGATTAGTCCAAAGGACTAATGGACCACAGCTACCATGGCCTCCACCAGACTGAGTCCAGTACAGCTAGACGGAGCCCGGCTACCACCACTGACTTCTCTGACCGGGATCACAATAGAGGGTCCTGGACAGAGCTAGAAAAGGATGCAGAACAGAATGCTAATAAAAAAAAGACCAGATTTACTGGCCTGACAGACTGGAGAAACCCTGACAGTATGGCCCCTGGACACCCTTTTAGCTCAGTGATGAAGCCCCTCCCAAAGTTCACCATTCAGCCGGGGACTGGCAGCCTCATAAAACAAAACAGGACTAACGAGGCATAGCAGTCCAGAGACAAGGACTAGAAGGCAGGAGGGGACAGGAAAGCTGGTGATAGGGAACCCAAGGTTGAGAAGGGACAGTGTTGACATGTCATGGGGTTGTTAACCATTGTCATACATAGGGCAATATGTGTACTAACTGTTTAATGAGAAACTATTTGTTCTGCAAACCTTCATCTAAGGTACAAAAAAAAAAGAATTATCTATGTGAGATCAAACTGACAACAGCAACTCAAAAGGTTTGATGGGAAGCCTAAGGGATAGTGAGTTGAAGATAATGGTGATGGAATAATTTGGAAAAGGATAGTGAGAATAGCAGCACAGCTGGAAGAATGAAATCGATGTCACTGAATTGTACATATAGGAACTTTTGAAATGGTGTAAATTTGGCTATGTGTATTTTCACCAAAAAAAAGGTCCTCAAGGTCGAGAAGAGAGCGTGTTGACACGTCGTGGGGTTCTTAACCAATGTCATAAAACAATATGTGTACTGACTGTTTAATGAGAAACTATTTGTTCTGTAAACCTTCATCTAAAGTACAATAAAAAAATTAAAAAATAAAACTTATTTTCTGCAGTCATCAACATTTTAAACTACTGTGTTAAATATTTACAAATAAAATTCATTTTGCTTTGACTATTTTCACAGTTGCCAAGAGGACAGCAACACTGTCACACTTTACATATACAGACACCCATCAGCATCTCTGATGTCAGTCCGTTTTATTACCTTAACTTGTGCCTCCTCTACCGGTTTAAAAGTAGAACAATACAAACTCAAGCTTTTAATTCCATTAGGCAAATAGCAACTAAATAAGTTTGTTACTTTTTGATTTAATGATCATGCTTTATAAAATTTATTTTTAGCAGATCAACATCAAATTTTGGATCAAGATCTTGAGAACACAAATCTCGGTCAGATCATTTTTTTAAAAACCTTAAGATATTATTTTCTCCTCTAAAGACTGAGAGTATACTAAAATTTTTCTAAATAAATACAAAATTTTCCATTTCTATGCTAATCATTTTGACTTACAATGCTGTGTATCTGTCCATTGCAGACTGCACATCTCTACGGTAAACCGTTCGAAGAATGACCATGACGGGGTCAAACTCCTGATCCCAGACTTCACCTATTATTCAAAAGAAAGTAGAAATAGAACCCTGACCTGTTAGGAATAAAGTCAATTCATCATTACATTTGTTAAGTACATTTCAAATTTAAAGGATGGAATAGTTTAATTTGATCATATACTTGCCTTAATATAGGCTTGATGTCATGACTACATATCTAAGTCAAAAAATCATAATTTCATCATTATGAATGTTCTCTTGAGTTCAGCAAGAACTACTGAACAAAAAAATTTATAGTGTATACAGCTAGATGGTGCCCAGCTACCACCACTGACTGCTCTGACCAGGATCACAACAGAGGGTTCTGGACAGAGCTGGAGAAGGATGTAGAATATAATTCTAACTCACAAAAAAAAAGACCAGATTTACTGGCCTAAAGGAGACACGAGAAACCCCTAGAGTATGGCTCCCAGACACCCTTTTAGCTCAGTGGTGAAGTTATCTCCGAGGTTCACCGTTCAGCCTGGGAGTGGACAGCCCCATAAAACTAAATGGGACTAATGAGGTACAGCAGTCCAGGGACAAGGACCAGAAGGCAGAAGGGGACAAGGAAGCTGGTGATAGGGAACCCAAGGTTGAGTAAGGATATTGTTGATGTGTTGTGAGATTGTTAACCATTGTCACAGGGCAACATGTGTAGTAACTGTTAAATGAGAAACCATTTTGTTCTGTAAGCCTTCATCTTAAGTGAGAATAGCAGCACAATTGGAAGAGCGTAGTCAATGTCACTGAACTGTGCATGTAGAAATTTTTGAAATGGTGTATCTTTGGCTATGTGTATTTTCACCAAAAAAAAAAAAAAAAGGTTGAGAAGTTAGAGGGTTGACATGTTGTGGGGCTGTTAAACAATGTCATAAAACAATATGTGTACTACTGTTTCATGAGAAACTATTTGTTCTGTAAGCCTTTACCTGAAGTACAATTAAAAAAAAAAAATTTATAGTGTAATAATGCCTCAGTGTAAAAGTTTAGTTCAATGTTTTTTTTCCTAAAGTGTCAACTACAAAGTAAGAAACAGATTGCTGATACTTTTAAAAGTATTTAAAGATAAAAACAAGAAAATTAGATTTAAAATTAATGAGCTCATACTGTGTTTTTATTTGGGCCTCAAAAACATTTTTGTTGATAAGAGTTTCTGCTCCTTTGCTAAAATTAATTAACTGGTCTCCTTACCTTCTCCATAACTAACAACTATTTCACATGTACATAAAATGCTTTTAAGTATTCAGTGTTCAAAACTTTTTATTTTAATAATTATATACTTATTTTAATGTGTATTAGAAAATTTTAAGTTGCAAATAAAACCCATGACCTCACTAATAGTCATACCCGCAAAAAAGTAAAAAAAAAAAACAAAAACAACAAAAACCAGTGAGTCCTTTTAAGAAAATACCAAGTATATAATAGTAGACATGATATGGAGATGTGGCAAAAGCCTAAAAGGTGGTCTGAGAATAATAATTTTAGAATGCATTGCCTTAAGAGTGTCTCTTTCCTGCATTAAGTTTTTCCCCTCTCATTCTCTCTAGCAGAATTCTTAGTATTTAAAAACATGTTAAGAAGTTTAAGGTCTTTCTACCCATCCACTATAATTTCAACTTTCTGGCATCCTTCACTTTAAATTCTATTAATTTATGTAGCTAAAATGCCAATGTTTTTAACAAAATTATATAATCTTTCAAACTCGTTCCCACTAAGTCAATTCTGACTCATGGCAACCCTGTAGGACAGAGTAGAACTGCCCCACAGAGTTTCCAAGGAACAGCTGGTGGATTTGAACTGCCAACCTTTTGGTTAGCAGCCAAGCTCTTAATCACTGCGCCACCAAGGCTCCATGTATAATCTCAGCAATGGAAAAAAAAAATTTAGTAATTAGTCCAGTAGGTTTCAAACACTGTTCCATGCAGCTGAATTTCCAGAGCTATAACAGGAGTAGTAGCCCTGGTGGCACAACGGTTAAGCACTCTGCTGCTAACCAAATGGTTGGCAGTTCGAACCCACTCAGCCGCTCCGCAGAAGAAAGATACGGCAACCTACTCCTGTAAAAACTGCAGCCTAGAAAACCCTATGGGGCAGTTGTACTCTGTCACATGGGGGTCCTTGTGAGTCAAAATCAACTCAACGCCATCTAACAACATAACAGGAGTCACTTTAGAAGCAAGGGGATGACAGAACAGATGCAATGGAATGGCAGGTCCACTACTGGCACCACTTTAACAAGAGTAAGTGTGCTTTTTTACCAGTTTTATGTAACAGATTCACTTAAAGTTTAGTTGCCTCTAAGTAAAGGCTTAGTTCAACCATTTTAAGGAAGTTTAAAAACCACTCATCTAGTCCAACTCTCTCATTTTACAAATAAGAAGCCAAATCCAAATAAAAAACTGATTTTCTCAACATTACACGGCTAGCTAATACAATTCAGTACTGTATTTGAATATAACACCCACGTTTCTTGGCACTAATCTTTAAATGTCCAGTGCCACATCCCAGTATCTCAAACTTTACTGTGCATGAGAATCTGCAGAGCTTGATAATAAGCAGATTTTTCAGGTTCCATCCCCAAAGATTCTGATGAGAGTAGATTTGAGATAGGGATAGGAACTTATGAATATGACAAAGGTAATCCTCACATCACACGTTAATAAACATTGCACTGCACCAGAACTCCACTCCACTTCTAAGTTCATCTAAATTTTAGACAGTGTTCTCTGCAATAAAGAAATACTATGTTTTGCCTTTAATGGAATACATATAAAGTTCCTTTTGTAATTTAGAGTTAGTTAAGAAGCTTTATTATAATATAAAGCCAGAGATTTAAAAATAAATGGAATTATCACTGTTTATCATAAAAGACACACATTCATAAGAAAGAAAAGAAAACCAAAGCTGAATAAATTTCAGATTCTCATGTTTGCCCCAAAAGGCAAAACATTTCCTTTCAGCATCTACAAGAATTCACCTTTAGAAAACTAATATTTGAAATAATCTATTTATGTATATAAACGTACCTTTGGGAGTATACATGCCTTGTTGCATAGAACCTCCAGGTTCGAAAACAGGAGCCTTAAAATCAGCTACAGTTGATAAAACTGATTCAAAGCTATAACTGCCTGGAATAATGCCACTTTTGGGATTTGGATTTTCTGGAATATGATGTTTGTGTCAAGAAAAAAATATTAGTGATTAAAACCCAGCTTCATAACCTAACCAAGGCACTCTAGTTTTCTGCTTTTTCTAAAAGTCAAATAGTAATTGGCTGTAATATATAATGTCAGCCACCAGAGGGCAATATAATACAACAGTTTGATCAGTAACTATTAATTGAAAATTTTTAGAATATTTTAAATCTAGTAATCTACTAACAAGTTGTGTGCTGAAGTAGTTCTCAGGGATATTTAACCCCCCAGACAAATTAATTAAACCAGGAAATGGGAAAAAAAATTAACTGATATCCAATTCCATTATTTTGCAAAAAATGTCTCTATAAAATACACTAAAAATTAGCCAAGATTTTCATGAATAAAAATTATTTTCCTAAAAACACAAAATTCCATCCTAAAAGACTAAAGAAAAAGGTGCTAAGCAAAGAAGCAAACCAATAAACCACAAAGGTTCTTTTTCATTTGTTTCACGTTAAGGTATGTAATTCTTTTTAGTTCAAAGTTACAGGGAATATTTTGCTTTGTAACAGCACTGATAGGGGTTGGATGAAATCATCAAACAATATCAAAGTGATGCTGTTTATGAAAATTTTCAAGGTTATCAAACAGGCATTCCAATACAAGTTATTTCACAAAAGCAAAATTTTAGCCAATTCTTTTAAACACATTCATAAGTTATATATGTATTAAATTCAGTCAAATATTTTCATTACAAAATAACACAATATTTGTCTAAAATTTCAAGAACATTCATTAAATATTTAAAATAATAATAATGTGTCCAATATATGCTCAGTCCTAGACAGTAAAACCTGCAAAAGCTGGAACCTGTGTAAGGCAGACATCTGTCAGAGAAGGAAAATTCAAATATTTTCCATTAAAACAAGTGATAGAAAAGCAGTAAGACTGCACTGTGTGAAAGCTGGAAAACTTGCAAGACTTGGAAAAAACAAGGCAGTCCAGACAAGTTCCAGCTTTCACTATACAAAGTATCACAAGTTTTCAGACTTTGTAGACAATAGCCTCTGCCCTTAAAGACCTCTTGGTTTAAGATTGAATTCTAACAGAAAATTCTCAGAATGTTTAAAACCTTGGTTATAATAATTACAAGGGTATACCTGTAACTATTAACCATGAATTCCAACCTGGCTACACAGATAAGTGGATAACTACTGTTGTCCTAGAAGGTCAGGTCCCAAGGTTCCCAGAGCCATCAGTCCTGAGGTCTAACCACAACTCCCCAGAGAGGTGACAAGTGGAAGCAAAAATATCTGCCACCAGCCCTGAATACATATTTGAGAAGATGACTGGAGTATTTTTCTTTTATGGTATTTTTTAACTTCAGGGGGAAAAAAAATGTATAATCTTTAATCCACAAAAATTTATTATTATTCAGAGTCTACAACTAATAGAAAATTAAACTTTTAAAAGGATATGAGGTCCAACAACGAACTGTGTGTCCTGTCATTCATACACAGCTGGGCTACCATCTCTGCCCTAAGAATCTCATCATCAGACATTCCTAAGATAATTAAAAATAGAATTAATAATTCTGAATATACATAAATTACAAAGAAATAACTTACCACACATTCTATTAAGCTGTCTTACCTACAGGAGGTGCTTCAAAAATTAAAGAATCATATGACCCAGTAATTCCACTCCTAGGTATATACCCAAGAGACTTGAAAGCAGGGACTTAAACAGATACATGTACACCAATGTTCATTGCAGCACTATTAACAATAGCCAAAAGGAAGAAACAACCCAAGTGTTCATAAACAGATGAACAGATAAACAAAATGTGGTATGTACATACAATAAAATATTACTCAGCCATAAAGAGAAATGAAGTTCTAATATATGCTACAACATGGATGAACCTTGAAAACATTATGCTGAGTAAAATAAGTCAGACACAAAAGGACAAATATTGTATGATCCTATTTATATGAAATATCTAGAATAGGCAAGTGCAGAGACAAATGTTTATTAGCAGCTACTAGGGGCTGTGAAGAGGAGATTGAGAGTTATAGCTTAAGGGGTACTGAATTTCTGTTTGGGGTCATGAAAAACTTCTGGACATGGATAATGGTGATGGTAGCACAACACGGCAAATGTAATTAATGTCACTAAATGTACACTTAAAAATGGTTAAAATGGTATATTTTTTGCAATATATATTTTACTACAAAAAAGTTTTTAAAATAAATAAAGAGTAAAGAATGCAATGCCCCAAATATAACTGCAGTTTAACCACCTGACTGTTTGCAGTTTTCTTAAATAAGGGATTTTTTAAAGGGTATTCTAAAAGGTATACTAATTGTACATTATCAAGAGCTTGAAACAATGTATAAATATTCCACATCTTTTCCCTTTTTCATAAGCCAGTAATACTATGGGGATGGGGGATGGGGGATGGGGGAAGAAAGGCAGGAGGATAGTTAATATTCAAGTATCAGTATTAGTGGTTTTTACCTAAATGCAAACGAAGACTCAAGAGAATCACAAGAAATGTAAGAGCGCCTTCTAACATCGATCTCTCATGCTCTGCGTCAAGTACTATATTTTGGTGTTGCGATGCCATTGTCAACAAATCCACTACTTTAAATCTATAAGGAGAAATATTTGACATAGATTTTTAAAGGTTAAAATAAAATAAACTTAGATTCCAATACCCCAGAAAACCTGTCTTAACACAATTATGCTTACCTTTCAAAGACAGACGAAATAACATAATCTGGGTCAAGTCTAGAAGCACAGACCTTTAAAAGAAAAAAAATGCTCTATTTCTCAATATTCAGTTTTACTTCTAAAGTATAACATTTGAATTAGCAAGTTGGCTTACCTGTAACAGGTAAATGTCAGGATCAATCATGGAATTACAAAAATGAGACTGTACGTAGGTCATGGCTTGCCCTTTGATTTGCAGACCATTTCTTACCCACATATTGCTATGGATTTCAGCAAGACTTGCCTAATAAAATAGAAATTAAGTAAATTAGACAAAGAATAAGTCATCTAAATTCAATGTTTATAAAATCATGTGACAGCAAACCATGATTTTAATATATTTTATGACTAGACTTAATCATAGTATTAGCCTGAAATTTTGTCTAATTTAGTTTAAGATATTCAGATCAAATATATACTTTTAAACGTTAAAATGATCATTATGGTTTATACAGCCCCTTCTTTTGCAGTTTATACGTGACTTAACTTTCCACGATTACTCCTGAATACAACAATTTTCACTGAGTACTTTCAAGAAGAATCACTAGTATTTATGTTTAACTCTATTTAAGTCTTTCAAAAAAAAAAAACTGTACATAATACTTAAAGAAACACACAGGAATAATCATAAAATGAAGTTAATTGTTCAAAGTAAATGAACATAATCTATTATCTTAATTTACCCTATCATCAACCTTCAATCCAAACTAGTCATTTTCCAAATAATTGGCAGGTAAGAGAAGGTCAGATTAGAATAAATTTTCTAACTATGTTAATATTTAATTCTTCATGTATTTATGCCCTCTATCAACTAAAACTAAGCACAGTCATAACTTCATCTCCTACTTGTTCCTAACCCACAGAGTTGAAGTTCGATAATGATTAACAGCCTAAAATTACCAGGAAAAACAAACTGAACACAATAAAATGTTTGTATATAAAAAGTTTGTCCACAAAATCATGTTAGACCTAAAAGAAACCAAAGTGCTTATGCAAGCTAATTCTTCTAATCCCCTTTTCTCACTTTACAGATGGGTAAACTGAGAACCAAAGGGTGATTTACCCCAATGCACAAAGGTGATAAAATAGTGGTAGCACCAAGGCTAGAGCTTGTTGGGTCGTCTATCTTTCAAAACAGTGCTGTGGTACGTTAAAAGTCCCTCATCAGTAAAAATAGTGAAAAGAATTTCTGGGAAATTAAAACTAAAAGTAAATTTTATAGAATAAAAAAATACCTAAATATAATCTGGCAAAAAAAATGAGAACTCAGTTAAAAAAAAAAAAACACTTTCAAACATTCTGGCTATTATAATGATAAAGGCATGCAAGTAAAATAAGGAAGAAATCATTTAACCAAAAAATTCAATTCAAAACTTTTTAGAAGTTAGAATACATACTTGAATTTGGAGCGGGTGAATCATTAGTTTCATTAACATTTCCTGATCTGGTAAAACAGAATCCAAATCTAGTTCTTGACACTTCACAGCCTAAAAATTATTATTCAAAAAGTTACTAATTCAAAATTTATTTTCCAATATTCAAAAAGAAATTATGCTGAGTAGAAAACACACAGAGAGAGACAGAGACAGAGACAGACAGAACTGTTTAATGACCAATCTTACCTTACTCAAAAACATGGCATAGTAACGATGCAGTGGTAGATGAAAACTGACCTGGTTAGGGGCTGGCTGGAATAAACAAGCAAAAATTCGCAAGTCAAAGAATATTTTATAAAAGTTCAAAGAAGGTTTTAAAATGTTAAAACCTTTCTTTCACTTTGACTTATTCCTACACTTTTTCATCAAAACTTGAAATTTTAGAAGATATAGCTAAAAACAATCACTACAGATAAAACTATTCCCTTTTAAATATGTAAATGCAAGCTCCTTGAAGACAAAAATTAGATACTACTCATCTTTGAATCCTCCACAGCATCTACCACCAGTTGCTGTCCAGTCGATTCTGACTCATGGCAACCCCACGTGTGTCAGAGTAGAACTGTGCTCCACAAAGTTTTCAATGGCTGATTTTTCAGAAGTAGATCACCAGGCCTTTCTTCTGCAGTGTCTCTGGATGGACTCAAACCTCCAACCTTTCGATTAGCAGCCAAGCACATTAACCGTCTGAACCACTCAGAAACTCCCCACAGCATCTAGCAAGTATTAAATTTCTTAAACTTAATTAAGCTAAAGCAAATAATCATATAGAAATAGGACAGACTTCCCTCTACAGCGGGCCATTTGAGAATCCTCAGGTGCATGCGTACCAAACATGATGAGAGTAATAAGAATAATAAGTGCAGCCAGCATTCATTAAGCACATACTATGTACCAATCACTGTGCTAAACACTTGATTTACATTACCTCATTTAATCCTGACAAGAACACTACTGGGTTGTTAGCTGCCATGGAGTCAGCCCCTGACTCATGGTGGCCCCATGTGTGACAGAGTAGAACTGCTCCATAGGGTTTTCTTGGCTGTAATCTTTACAGAAGCAGATTGCCAGGCCTTTCTTCCTTGGTACCGCTGGTGGCTATGAACCACCAGCCTTTAGGTTAGAGGTTGTGCGCAAACCACTTTTAAGGTTCCATAAGGACCACAAATACAGTGTATCCAAACCACTTTGCCGTAAAACTCAACCTTCCTCAATGTTTCTTCTCCAAACTCCTAGTAATTCAAATCTGAAATGTAGACTACTTCGTTCTCACAAGTCCCCCACATCTGCAGGCACCAATGTGTGTTTGATTTCTAATCATCTCTTAAATTTTTTCTACACTATCCCTAACTAACCTTAGCTCAGACTTTTAATATTTAGTGCCTAGATTGTGGCAGTAACCCCTGATTCTACTCTTACCCTTGGAAAGATACCTTTTGTAGTGTGTGCACAGCTCCCAACCTTCCCCATCCTCCAAGAACAGCCCCTTGCACACTCACATGGGATTGGAACCTAACAGCCAAGTTTATAGTAACCACATTTGACTGAGATCAGGTCCAAACCCATACCCACTGTGGTCGAGTCAGTTCTGACTCATAGCGACCCTACAAGACAGACAGCAGAACTGCCCCACAGGTTTTCCAAGGCTGTAGAATCTTTACAGAAGCAGACTGCCACATCTTTCTCCTGTGGAGCGGCTGGTGGTTCAAACTGTCAACTCTTCAGTTAGCAGCCAAGCGCTTAACCACTGTACCACCAGGACTCCTTGGAATCAGGATGGGGATACAAACCTGTGCTTGACTAACCTTGAGTAACACATCTTCTCCCTAGTTAAACCTCTGCTTCTAAGGAAGTAGTTTTACTAGAACATTATTTAATTTTGCACTTCCCCATACAATCCTTTAATGACTCCCAAGGATTTGAATCTCATGATAACCTTTCAACTCCTGAGAAGAAAGGGCTTATCTATCCAGCCTCACCTCCTTTCACACAAAATCATGCACTACAGGTAGTTCACCTAACCCAACAGGCCACGTGCCTTTGAATATACTGTTCTCTCTGCTTCCAATGCTCTAAACCCCTTCATCCACCGAATAACACATCTTTTTAAGACTTTGCTCAAATCACGCTTCTACAAAGAAGCCTTCCTGAGTCTCTCAGGCTAAATCAGGTGCTTTCCTCTATCCTCCCCCATAGCACCCTGATCACAACTTCACAAAAGCACTACAATCAAATTAATCATTTACTTGTCTTCCACTTCCACTTCCTTAAAGAGAGGGCAGTTTCATCACCGTATCCCCAGTGTCTAGAACATAGTAAACATTCAATAAATATCTGCTGATTGAATGAATGCACACTCTACTCTCCTCTGATGAGAGGATCACAATCAAATTGCCCTGCTACACACTCACAATCATTGCCATACGTGGTATGCGTGCATTTGCAGATTCCCAAATGGCTTATGTTGTAGAGGGAAATGTATTCCATCCTTGTGTCTAAATGATTATTTGCTAGTGAGGAGCCCTGTTGGCAAAGCAGTTAAGTGCTCAGCTGCTAACCAAAAGGTCAGCATTTCGAACCCACCAGCCACTCTGTGGGAGAAAGATGCGGCAGTCTGCTTCCATACAGATTACAGCCTTGGAAACCCTACAGGGCAGTTCTACTCTGTCCTGTAAGGTCACTATGAGTTAGAATTGACTCTACGGCAATGGGTTTGGTTTTTTTGGATTTTTTGCTTTAGCTCAATTCAGTTCAAAAAATATTATTTGCTTAATAATATTGTATTACCTTAATAACTTCTGACATTATCCACCCACAGGGATGGATTCTTCACACACATAGTATGTTCCTCATATTCAATCCTCATTAGTAAATTTTATCATCCTTAATAAACATAGGCGGAAACGAACTCAATAGGGTTTGAAAAAAACATCCGTGTCTCATAGTTGGTCTGTGACAGAGCCACACCGTACATTCAGTTCTCACTCCAAAGCTCTTTTCACTGTTCACAGCCAATATGGCTTAAACACTACCAAAGAGCTGAGAGACATTAGCTCTGGATTCAGAACTACCAGTACTTTGCTACGTAACTATAAGCAAGTCATTTAGAGTTTCTGCTTCTCAACTTCACATCTACAAAAAAGGGGGAATAATAATATCTTTCTCTACCTCACAGGGTTTTGAGGAACAAATAAACATATCAAAGAACTTTAAGAAACAAAAGCTTCTTTTTTTATTGTACTTTAGATGAAGATTTTAGAATAAATAGCTTCTCATTAAACCGTCAGTACACATATTGTTTTATGACATAGGTTAATAATCCCACGACATGTCAACACTCTCCCTTCTCGACCCTAGAGGACTTTTTTTTTTTTTTTTTTTTTGGGTGAAAATATACATAGCCAAATTTACACCATTTCCAAAGTTTCTACATGTACAATTCAGTGACATCGATTACATTCTCGCACTTGTGCTGCTATTCTCACTATCCTTTTCCAAATTATTCCATCACCATTATCTTCAACTCACTGCCCCCTAGGCTTCCCATCAAATCTTTTGAGTTGCCATTGTCAATTTGATCTCATATAGTTTTTATTTTTTTGTACCTTAGATGAAGGTTTGCAGAACAAATAGTTTCTCATTAAACAGTCAGCACGCATACTGCCCTATGACAATGGTTAACAACCCGATGACATGTCAACACTGTATCTTCTCAACCTTGGGTTACCTATCACCAGCTTTCTTGTCCCCTCCTGCCTGCTAGTCCTTCTCCCTGGACTGCTGTGCTTCATTAGTCCCGAAGAAATAAAAACTTTTAAACACCATATAAGAATACAACATATTGTTTGCTTCCTCGTATTTTCTCTTCTACTAAAAAATCAATTTAAATTCTTTACAACATTTGGCATCTTCCTAAACATATTTCTGTGTGAGAAACAAATAGACTGAGTGAGCTACTATCTCCTTGAGTTCAGTTGTTCTGTATAACATACATAATTCTAACTTTCCTTAATTCCATCTCTGAGTGTAACCATGGATTAATTTCATGTCAAACATTTACTACATAATCCTCTGTGTGTAATCCAATTCCCCCTCTACGTCATCTCCTGCTGTCTTAGTGATGTTATCATGTCCACAATAATTCCTAAAGTTTCAAATACCAAGTAGAACTGGGTTAGAGACACTCCAGTTTAGGGACTAATCCTGGATGGGATGAAGAAAGAGTAAAGCAGGTAAAAGCAGGATGGAGCTCTGTGGAGGCTAGAGAATGAAGACTGACCCATTACCGCTTATAAAAACAAAGTTTAAGCTCAAAGACCAACAATTAGAAAAAGAATCAAGGAGATTTGGTGAAGGCAAAATCAGAATCTAAATAGGCAAAATCCAGGCCAGAGGCTTAAAGTGGACACAAATACTGGGGGACAGGTGATCAGGGATGGGTAATAAATGAGTTTGGGGCTGAAAGGATTAGAATTAAAGACAGCAGAGACATAAAATGACACTCATGAAGAGTGTGCTTCTTAACTCAAGTAGATACATGAGACTAAATGGGCAGCTCCTATCCGGAGCCAAGATGAGAAGGCAGAGAGGGTCAGGAGCTGGTTGAACGGACACAGGAAATCTGGGGTGGAAAGGAAGAGTGTGCTGTCACAGTATAGGGAGAGCAACCAGGGTCACATAACAATGTGTGTATAAATTTTTGTATGAGAAACTAACTTGAATTGTAAACTTTCACTTAAAGCACACAAAAAATAATAAAGACAGCAGGGGGCTCTTCCCTTCCAGAACAATTGAGTCCCCGAAAGCCACTGGGGAGTTGGGGAGAGGGGCACAGCAAAATAGGCATCTACAGATGAGGGGTCTGAAGACAGAGATGTCAGAGCCCACGTGGGGTAAGGAGGGCAACCATGTACTTTGGGGCAGGTGAGATGGAGAGGAGGGGGGTGACAAGCTGGTATGGGAAGGCCAGAGGGGCAGGGGAAGTAGGGGCATAGGGAATCAGAGCCAGAGCAGAGTGAAAAGGACATCCACACAGCAAGGCAACCAAGTGTAGTATGTCAGAGCCCAATCAGAGGAAGGAGGGAATCCATGGGGAAACTGGCTGATGTTGGAAGCAGAAGGGCATTCCAGGGTGGGGAGTTAGAGCCTAAGTAGGATGAGGACGGTATCCGCATTTGTCTGTGGGAGTGGTAGAGGGGGTAAAATGAGGAGTCACAGCCCAAGCAGGGAGAAGAGGGCATCCATGTGAAGAAAAGGCAGCAACTGAGATAAAAGATTGGTTATATATAAGAAAGTTGATTAAATAAGTAAACATACAAAGGATAATAGAACCCAGGTTTCTCATTGTTGGAGAAAATTAGAACAAATCCTGTGGTGTTAGACTGAGATTGAAAGTATCAGTGTGATGACAGTTCTGACAGGGATCACGGTAGAGAGCTCCAGACAGAGCAGGAGAAAAATGTAGAACAAAATTCAAATTCACAAAAAAGACCAGACTTACTGGTCTGACAGAAACTGAATGAACTCCTAAGACTATGCCCCACCCCAGACACCCTGCTAACTCAAACTGAAGCCACTCCTGAAGTACACCTTTCAGCCAAAGATTAGACAGTCCTATAAAACAAACAATAACACACGCCAAATAGTTCAATCAAGTATAGAAGACCAAATGGGCAATGCCTGCCCAAAAGCAAAGACAGGCAGGAAAGAACAGGAAACCTGGAGGAATGAACACAGGGAACCCAGGGTATAAAGGGAAAGCGGGAAAGTGCTGACACATTATGGGGACTGCAACCAATGTTACAAAACAATCTGTGCACAAATTTTTGAATCAGAAACTAATCTGTGCTGTAAACTTTGAACTAAAATGCAGTAACATTAAAAAAGAAAATAATGTGAACTCCTACTTTTAATATATATAAATAGATACAGAAATAAATATAGCTATAAATGAGTGTGTGTATACATACACCAAACACCAAAACCAAACTCAATGCTGTTGAGTCAATTCCAACTCACTGCAACCCTACAGGACAGAGAAGAACTGCCCCAGAGGGTTTACAAGGCTCTAATCTTTAGGGAAGCAGACTGCCACATCTTTCTCCCATGGTGTACATACATATACATATATCCATTCCTTAGCTCTGTTCATTGAGAGGGCCTGGGATCAATGACACCCCAATATCAATGAGCAGATCTATCACCTAGATCTTTCTTTATAAATGCTGTTCTCCACTAAAAGCAACCAGGGATCCTTGGAGAAATACCTAATTCCAGGAATGAAGTATGGAAAATATAAGGTGAGCCTGAAATATCTTGTTGGACCAGAAAGCAAGGAAGTGGTGAAAGAATGATGGGCAAGTCTAAAGGACACAAAAGCCACCTTAAAGGAGCTTTTACTTTAAGCAATTAACAATTTGAGCATCAGTAATAATAGCAATGGATTATAACTCACTGATTAATATAGATAACTAAATCTCTATAAATAAAAATAAACAAATTAACTGAAAATCTGATGAGAAATTAGATTAACTGTATTAATTACAATGGGGAAAAGAGTAACTTTATGGTGGAGAAGTCTGGCAGACACCACCCTAATGAAGTGATCAAAGGGAATATCATCAGTAATAGGACAACCACCAGGTAAGATACAATGAAAAGATTGTAGTATCATTTTTATGATATTTCTGCCAAAGATGCATGATCTGAATGTAATCATAAGAGAAACCCAAACTGAGGCACATTCTATTAAATAATAAGCTCTATTTTTCAAAAAAGTCATTGTCCTGAAAGGCAGAGAAAGACTCAGCAACTGTTCCAGAAGGAGACTAGAAACATAACTAAATGAAACATGTGATTCTGAACTGGATCCTTTGGCTATAAAGGGCATCACTGGACAACTGATAAAACAAGAATGAGGTCTAGCAATTGTTGTTGCTGTTGTTGCGTGCCATCAAGTCAATTCCAACTCATAGCGACCCTACAGGACAGAGTAGAACTGCCCCACAGAGTTTCCAAGAAGCAAATGGTGGATCTGAACTACTGGGCTTTTGGTTAGCAGCCTAAGCTCTTAACCACTTCGCCACCAGGGCTCTGTGCTCTAACAATTAGGTGGTAATAATATACTAATGCTAATTTCCTAAGTTTTAAAGTTATATTTTGATTGTGTAGAAGAATGTCCCTGTTTGTAAGTAATATAGGCTAAAGTATTTGGGGAAAATGGAGCATCAAGTCAACAACTGATTAAGGATAAAAAAAAAAAAAAGTTCTTTGTATTCTACTTCCAACTTTTCAGTAAGTTTTGTGATTGTTCCTAAATTAAAAAGAAAGAAGACAGAAAAGAAACATACAAAGGTGCCCCCACTGAGGGGGAAAAAAAAAAAAGACAGCAGGAGTTCTATCTGCCCAGGGGTTCAGAAATCAAGATGGGGAGCAAGAGGATAGGGCTGTCTGAAACACAGTCTTCCTTCTACATATATGGCACTTCATAAGTGGAACAGAAAGGTGCTCCTGATAGTAAATTTGGCTGGCTAATTAAAAGCAATCCCTTTTTCAATTCATATACAGCACACTCTATGCCAACTCTGAATGGCAATTCAACAGAATGCGGAAATTATTGAACAATACCATTAATAACACACACAAGTAAAGTTTTCCTGAAGATTATTCAAAAGCAGCTGTAGCCATACACTGACAGGAGAGTGCCATAAATTTAAGCCAGATTCAGGAGAGGACATGGAATGAGGGACATCATTGCTGATGTCAGACAGATCTTGGTTGAAAACACAAAATACCAGAAAGATGTTTCCCTGTGTTTTATTGACTATGCAAAGGCATTCGACTGTGTGGGTCATAAAAAATTACAGATAACACTGCAAAGAATGGGAATTCCAGAACACTTAATGAGGAACCTGCACACAGATCAAGAGGCAGTCGTTCAAACAGAACAAGGGAAACTACATGGTTTAAAGTCAGAAAAGCTGTGATTCAGGGTTGCATCTTTTCACCATACTTATTCGATCAGTACGCTGAGCAAATAATCCAAGAAGCTGGACTATATAAAGAATAACGCAACATCAGGATTGGAGGAAGACTCATAAACAACTTGTAATACACAGATGACACAACCTTGCTTGCTAAAAGTGAAGAGGACTTGAAGCACCTACTGATGAAGATCAAAGACTACAGCCTTCAGAATGGATTACACCTCATCATAAAGCAAACAAAAATCCTCACAACTGGACCAATAAGCAACATCATGATAAACAGAGAAAAGACTGACGTTGTCAAAGATTTCATTTTACTTGGATTCACAATCAATGCCCATGGAAGCAGCAGTCAAGAAATCAAACAACGTATTGCACTGAGCAAATCTGCTGCAAAAGACCTGTCTAAAGTGTTAAAAAGCAAAGATGTCACTCTGAGGACTAAGGTGCGCCTGACCCAAGCCATGGTATTTTCAACTGCCTCATACACATGTGAAAGCTGGACAATGAATAAGAAAGACCGAAGAACTCACACCTTTGAACTACGGTGTTGGTGAAGAATATTGAATATGCCATGGACTTCCAGAGAACGAACAAATATGTTTTGGAATAAGTACAGCCAGAACGCTTCTTAGAAGCAAGAATGGCGAGACGTCGTCTCACATTCTTTGGATGTGTTATCAGAAGGGATCAGTCCCTGGAGAAGGACATCATGCTTGGTAAACTATAAGGTCAGCGAAAAAAAAGGAGACCCTCAAGGAGATGGACTGACACAGTGGCTGCAACAATAGGCTCAAGCATAACGACTGTTAGAATAGTCTAGGACGGAACAGTGTTTTGTTTTGTTTTGTTACACATGGGGTCGCTATGAGTCAGAACCAACTTAACAGCTCCTAACAATGACAACATGCCAACTCTTCTCAGTTCATTACTAATAATAATCACCTTTGTTCAAGTCCCTCTTTTCATACCCAAGGAGAAAAGCTATGATAAGCTTTCCATTAATCTTCCCCGTTTTATTCACATTTGCACTGTTACTTTTACCTCTTCAGATGAAACTATTTCTCAATCCTGAGAAATATTGAGACATACATATACATTTAATAACAGAACAAGAAAGTATGCCTGTCTTCTCTAGGAAATAAGCAGGTATGATATTATGCTCTGAAATCTTCTAAATGTCAAGGAACTAGTCTCCCCTTTCCACTTCTCCTTTTTTAAAGCCTAATCATATGTACATTCTTACTTTTTACCTTTTCCCATTCATTAATTTCAACACTAAATGAGAGCTAACACTTTTTTCTTAAGTACTTTTACATATATCAAAAATACACATACCTCATCTACGAAGTTAATAGCATCAAACCAGTCTTGAAGAGCTTCAAGGCAGTATCTAACAACATTTCGGGTATATTCTTGAGTTTCCTAGAATAATAAGTTATATAAATTTTGTAATTTATACACATATATATTTTCAACTTCAGATTATATGTAATACATAAGAATAAAGTATATACATTGTGTGTGTGTATATATATATTATATAATGGTAAAATACATAAACTTTCAAGATTACTTCTGTATTTGCCATTTCAAAAAATCTTCCCTTCACAGAATAATTGTAACAATCTGTGACAATCTGTGACAATTGTGATACTTAACACATATGCTACCTTTTATATAATAAGTTCCTGAAAATTGGTGAAAGCTGAAATAGATTTATGAGCTGTAAGTCAGGTTCCATTTCAAGAGACCTCAAAAATATTATAAATTCCCTAACTGTGGCTCATGCAAACCTCTTGGTCAGCAGCAAAAACCTTCATAGGTGCATAAATGTGGTCACCAGGCAGCTATTAGCTAAAGCTGGTCCTCATATTTCACTTTCAGCTGGTCTTCAACTTATCCCTCTAATTCACCTCAGAGGATGAAACAGATGGTTACAAAGCCCTTAATCCTTAAACTTTCAGCCAAGGCTCATTAGGCTGCTAGAGAGGAGGGGAAAAAAAGGATTCCTCTATTGCAGTATAATCCATATTCAGCAAAGGGCCACCACCAAAAATATAAAAATAAAACACGTGCCAATGAGGCTTCCCATCTGACTGACTGTCCTCACCCCCCCCCCGCCCCGCCCCAATCTCTGCCCATAACTCCGAGAGGAGAGTAGATGGGTGAAACAGTAAGGCAACGGTTTGGGCAAAGAGGCTGGGCTGTCCTACGGGGAGGTCCATCAGAATCAGCAGCTCTAAGTGAGTGAGAAAACGCCTTGCTCCCCTGACATCTGAGCTCCTTGTTACAGTACTTACAGAGAGGCAGGGAGAAGATGGAGAAACCAACGCAGCCCTGAGGCAGGGGCTAGTGGCAAGCAGAACACGCAATACAGGAAATTAAAAAGATTAGAGAAGAGCATAATGACAAATTTAACAGGCTGCAAGAATCCATAGAGAGACAGCAATCAGAAATCC